CACGCCCTGGTTATGTATACACACACTGGTGATGTAGACACACACTGGCGATGCAGACACACACTGGCGATGCAGACACGCCCTGGTGATGCAGACACACCCTGGTGATGTAGACACGCCCTGGTGATGTAGACACACACTGGTGATGTAGACACACACTGGTGATGGACACACACTGGTGATGCAGACACGCACTGGTGATGCAGACACGCACTGGTGATGTAGACACACCCTGGTGATGCAGACACACCCTGGTGATGCAGACACACCCTGGTGATGCAGACACGCCCTGGTGATGTAGACACACACTGGTGATGCAGACACACACTGGTGATGTAGACACACACTGGTGATGCAGACACACTGGTGTGATGCAGACACGCCCTGGTGATGTAGACACGCCCTGGTGATGTAGACACACCCTGGTGATGTAGACACGCCCTGGTGATGTAGACACACACTGGTGATGTAGACACGCCCTGGTGATGTAGACACACACTGGTGATGTGGACACACACTGGTGATGCAGACACGCCCTGGTGATGTAGACACGCACTGGTGATGCAGACACGCCCTGGTGATGTAGACACGCCCTGGTGATGTAGACACGCCCTAGTGATACAGCTTCATCAGTTCTGTTTTTACTGTTATTTCTTTGCGGGAAACTCCAGACTGATTTTCAAATGGGGTGATTAATGCAATCTGTTAAGTGCATGTGTGTTCCTTTTCTTCAAAGTCTTTGCAGTACTTGTTATTTTGTTTTGATGGTACTCATGTTCACTTGGATGTGGTGGAATTCCAGTACAGAATTAGCCTGTATCTTTTCTAATTTCTAAAGATGCCAAACTTTTTTATGTGATACTGTAAGCTAGGGAAATTCCTAATTATATCACAGACTTGTCTCCCTGGTAATGTAGACACACACTGGTGATGCAGACACACCCTGGTGATGTAGACACACCCTGGTGATGCAGACACGCCCTGGTGATGTAGACACACCTTGGTGATGTAGACACGCCCTAGTGATACAGCTTCATCAGTTCTGTTTTTACTGTTATTTCTTTGCGGGAAACTCCAGACTGATTTTCAAATGGGGTGATTAATGCAATCTGTTAAGTGCATGTGTGTTCCTTTTCTTCAAAGTCTTTGCAGTACTTGTTATTTTGTTTTGATGGTACTCATGTTCACTTGGATGTGGTGGAATTCCAGTACAGAATTAGCCTGTATCTTTTCTAATTTCTAAAGATGCCAAACTTTTTTATGTGATACTGTAAGCTAGGGAAATTCCTAATTATATCACAAACTTGTCTTTTGCATTAGATAGAAATAGTGTATGTTATGTGATGGGCACAATATTTCCACCACCACCACTATCGCTATCATCACCAGCACTATCACCACCAAGAACATCGCCACTAGCACTGAAACCACTACCATGTCCAACTGCCACCACCACCACCACAACCACCACCACCACCACCACCATCTCATCACCACAACTACCAACACCCCAACCACTACCACCACATCCAGTCAGTCACTGCCGCCACCATCACCACCATTACAACTGACATTTTATCAATCACTACCTACCACAACTAGTATTGCCAACACCACAAATACCACCACTACCACAAACACCATCATGATCAGCATCCCCTTGTTCAACACTAACACTGCCATGTCCAGCCACACCACCACCCATCATCAACACTGTCATCACCATAAACATTATCACTGCCCCACGTCTATCACCAGTGCTACAGCCCCCACCACTTCTTCCATCATCACTGCTACCAACATCATTGCCACCATCATCATCTCCATGATAATTGCATCACATGGTCTTGAAAGACAGTGACTGGGACATACCTAGGATGGGAAATAAGATTTTTAAAATTATATTATTCCTTATAGTTGTCTATTTATTATTATAAAACTGTTTTAGATAATTTTAGATTCATTAAGTAG